TAGCTACTCAATTGTTTTACAATTTACCCAGAATTTGGTCGCCTCTCCTTACCTCTGAGCAAAGTTTAGTAACAGATGCTGTGCTGAAGTTTCATATTACTAAAGTACTGTGCTTTTTCCTAGTGCACATTGTAGTAATTACTATGTTAAATCACCTTGAGGAAATACAGGAGCATGATATGCTTTCTTATATGTTCTCCTTGGGTTTTCTTTTGTTTTCCATGTATTCACAAAATGTCAGTGTATAGGACCCATTTTCCCACTGATTGTTACCTCAGTCTCATGAGTTTCAGTGCACATACTTGTGGGGCTGCGCTGTACAGCCCCAAACACGATATATAATTTTTGCCTTTTGGGGAAGTCTTGCCACCTTTCCCTATGTACAACATCCTTGATACTTCAATGTGCATTCAGCACAATGTTGAAAACAATTGATTATAATTCACCCAGTTCCTGGAAAACGAGTTGCACTGCCCACTGGTTGCATTTGCAAGATTTGCCCCTTACTTGCTAGCCGGGATTCTTTGCTGGGGACTTCTAGTTACTGGCATGAACTCACAAGGTACACTTCAAGTCAGAGACAACACTGTAAGTATCTGTAATGGTGCAAGAGGTGGCACACACGTTTAAGATGTCCTGTTTGTAGCGCAAGCAAAGACCCCTGAAGAATCAGTGACTTCGGCTCCCAGGGAGCAAAGCCCGACCTCCCGTCAAGGGCTGTCGGTGCTGATTTCACCCTCTCTCCTTTGGACTTGGTCCCCAGCTCCTGCACCGTCTCAAGCTGATGTAGTGGGTGAAAATGACTCAGATTTGCTACCAATAACTGTAGATGTTACTTTCAGCCATCTGCCTGAAGCAACACAATTAACATGTAATTACACTAAGAAGAAGAAAAGGAAAAAGAAAAAAAAAAGAAAAAAGAAAGAAAGAAAAAAAAAAAGTAGTTCCTTTTGTGATAGTGCTTTATCTTTGGCGATACTTCCAGTTGCAGAGTTGGTAAGCCGCTGTGTTTTTTAACAGTGGTGTCACATATCTCAACCAATTAAGCCATGACATTTTCATAATTTTTTTTTAAGTACCCTCTTATTAGGTTAGTACTTGATTTGTTTAGATTATGGGACTTTGTGCTGGAGTCTTGCATGTCATTTGCTGAAAGAACAGGCCTATGCTTTTCTTTCTAAAACAGTCTGTTGCATTAGTGGAATTTATAATGTGTTAAAAGCAGCAGTGCCTTTTATATCTTGGTAATATTAAATGGTGAGTTGAGTGTCTTGTTTACAACTAGGAAATAGTTTTAGTAAGGACCAACGATATGCAGCTTAAAGGAAAACTAATAGAATTTTGCTGTTGCAGTTGTGACAGCTCTGAGCTGTGCATTCAACTCTCTGCAGATACACATAGTGGAAATCAGAGAAGTCTCACCAAAACTGACGAAAGGACCATCAGCCAGCAACCTATTTACTTATTCAGCTTGGTAGACTAATATACTTTCAGAACATTTCTTTAATATGTTAATGTAACATTTTCAATTATGTTAATTCTCAGGACTAGGAGCAACTTGGGAGTTTTTAATCAGCAATAAATCAGCAGATACAATAGTTCATTGCTTATCTGGAGCGTTGATGTATTTCAGCTGGTAGTTACAATGTTTCTGCCCAGAAAGGGAAGATCCCGCACTCCTTTGTTAGGCAAAGTTCCAGTTCAAATTAATGGAAATACTCACATGAGCAAAGCAAGCTGATCCGGCTTGCCGGAGGGACTGGCGGGGCAAATGTGGATTTTAGTAAGACTTACGGTTTTATGTCTTTCTGAGGAATATTATTTATTTTCTGTTCCTATTCCCTTTACTGCCTTGGATCAGCAGAGAATGAGAAGCACTGACATGCTAAATTGGTGAGATTTCAGAGTCTTCACTGTTCTTCACTGTGACTCCTGTTTTCCCCTTTCTGCAAACTGTTAATGTATTCCCAACTTCACAGGGAATCGGAAAGTATCTACAGCATGTGCACAAGGGAAAAATATGCTCAGAAATATGACCGTACGGTACATGTTAGAGTACATTAGTTTTTGGGGGGTCACTGCTATATACTGTCTGCCATCAATTTGCTTTCAAAACTTGATTTAGAGAAATGGCTTCTAGGAACAGCTAACACCTCAGTGCTGTAGCCTCTCCAGGAAATTGTTCCGGACATATCATCTCTCTAAATAAATACGATACAGTGAATGGAGTCATAAATTAAAAAGGCCAGATTAGCAACGATGGTGGATTAATTTTTCTGCATGTTAGATACCGTTTCCATTGTGTGAGTGCTCTCGCTCAACTATAGGGATGCAACTTGAAAGGAAAAATCCCGTATTGTAGCTGTGATTGAAAGGCATAGCCATTCCATAGATTCCTGGATGATGGCTCTGTAGCATCTTTAATTCACTTTGCCATCTTTTTGTCTTCTTGCCTCTGGGTTATAGTCCCCTCTCTCCTCTGAGGCTTGTCCCCTCTGTCAGTGCTGGTGTTTGCACTCCTTCATGCCCTTCTGCCTTTAATGATCGGGTAGGCTGAGACCTACCAAACTTTATTTCCAGCCATTTTCCTTCTTTATAGGTTGCTATTATCTTCTGCCCTTTCCAAGTCCTGGCCAAAAGCTGTTCTTTCAGCTCTTTTCCCCAGCAAGTTGTGTGTCTCATTCCCTTTGCTACTGCGTAGCTGGTTGGGTTTGTGCTTCCTACTGGGACTATCCCTCCCATTTCCCCCATGCGCACGACGGGAACAGCAGCAATGAAGGGAAGAACTGGGATGGCCAAGAGAGGGGACTGGCACAACTGTGGGGTTGAATAAGAGATAATGAGGTCTGCAGAAAGGGAGAGAAGAGTAAGTGAAAAGCTGGGACAAGTTTTAACACTTCAGAGGCACAGTAGACCAATACCAGCTAAGCCTTTGTATTCCAAATGTACTCGGTTTAATTTTTTTTTTTTTTTTTTAAACTCTAGCACAGCTTGAGCTAAGAGGCTTGAGACCACAGAAGCCAAACCAAAAAGGCATTAATCCAAATGGCTAAGTTGACACTGATCTCATACCTATCAGCGCATGGACATACATGTGTTTCTTGAACAGGACGTAGTTACCCACAAGGACTTGCTAGAAAATGCTTGGATGATGCTTTGTAGCAAGTAAAACAGCATGAGATGTAGTAATTGACTGCAGTGCCCTGCGAATGTTACAATAAAATGTACCAAAGACACCAAAAATGTAACCACAATATCTTGAATAGCTAATAACCAAGACAGCATAAACTATTTCTCCATGGGATTAAAAATAAATTAATTACAATACCTAGAAATTACATCCAGCAACAGCTTTTTTTTTTTTTTTTAATTAAAAAAAAAAACAGACTTGCTAAATCTGCAGAGGTCACTAGAGAATGTGTTCTTTGCTCTTGCTGTTTGCTGTTAGGAATCTGGGAGACATACTGGTTTACTGGCAGCAGTCTTGCTAAATAGCTGAGTGGCTTGTCTCTTGATTGTAAAAATGGGATGCAGAGTATTATCTCCTTCCTGGGTCATGCTTGGTGTCCCCTTCAATTTGTTATCATTATCTGACTTCTTAATATAGAGCAAAACCTCCTATAAAGTACCTTTACTACAAATATTTCCTATTAATGTTGCAACAATGCCTAGAAAACTTCCAGGGTTCTGACGTG